TGTGTAGAAGCCGATGGCTAATATTTTGAATAAAAAAAAATTAATTTCCCTTGAAAATTACTTGTTCCTTTTTTACCAAAAAACCGGAAAAAACTTATGCATACACCTGGTATATGGAAAAGGAAATGGAATATTCTATATATATATATATATATATATATATATATATATGTAGAGAGAGATATTGATATGTTCAAGTCGTGAAATTCATATAAATTCGTATAAAGAAATACAAATAGTTAAATAATTCGATACATGTTAATTATTATACATTCCAGAATGGAAACAATTTTTTGACATCAGCCAAACTGAATTTATTAAGATCACTTGAACACATGCAGTCGTAGAAAAATAGATGTAACAGATGTAGTGTAAAGAAAGGAAGATGTAAAAAGTCAGTATCGCACCGCATCCAGACTCGCGGTATTTGCTGGTGATACTCGGAAAAACGTTTTGCCAACCAGTGTCGTTGTATTTTATGAATATGCATGCGTATAGGGTGTTCGGTCACGAAACTTCTGATGAACCTTTTCGCATCTACCCACGTATCGCTTATCACATCTTTATCGTGAAACTTCCTTCGATCTATCTTCGATTTAATTTACAGACTGATAACGTGACACGTCCGTTTTTAAATTAAGAAATTATTAATAATAATGTAATAACCCGGGAAAAATGATTATACATGATTATATATAATTATATAAAATCACATATGAATTTTGCCCATATATACGTGGTTACATGTATGATCACATATGTTCATACGAAACAAATGATATTATGTCGTTTAATTAAATGTCGATATCACGTGCTGTCAGAAGCACAAGTAGCCTAAGAAGCATTTACTTCGATTGTGTTTGTATATAATTTGTAAACGACGGTATTTTTTCGTTATGATTACATAGAGTCTGTCCCACAAGAAAGTATACGGTAGCATATCGAGAATATACAACCTAAAAAAAGGGAGTTTAGTACATTAAAATAGATACAAAAAGATATTGCACAATTACTTAATAATGGGTCCAGTCGCCTTCATTGTCAATTATAGCTTGACATTTTCTTGGCATGCTTTTGACTAATTTTTGAGAATATTCAAGTGGTAAAGAGCGCCATAACTTTCTAATTCTGATCGATAATTGCTTAAGAGTAAAGATAGATTTCCCTCGTAGTTTGCGCTTTATGTAAAATCACACATTCTCAATTGAATTCGCATCTGGGGACGATGCAAGTCAATCCATTGTAATGATGCAATTTTCAGTTTTCCATTCTATGCAGAAGCGACTCCGATGTTTGAAGTCATTATCTGCCTGAAGTCCCCAATTGTTTCTATTTTTTTCATAAAATTTCTCAGCAGATGTCAACTAACATTTCTGATAAACATAGTGTATTTTTTCAGCCTTTAGATTATCAGTAAACAAATAGAAGCAACCAAAACCACGCTTACAGAAACATGGATCTTAAACGGATGCTTAACTGTTCGTTGGATGATCTTATTATTTGGAATTGACCAGGCTTGTCGTATAGGTAACTATGTCCAAAAAAAAGCTTCATCCGTGAAGATAACGTTGTCCCAATCTTTATTCAAATTTTCACGAACCCATGCCAGTTGTCTTGTGACATGTTTTTGTGTCAGAAGAGACTTTTTAATTGTGGAATGATATTTTATGTTCGATTCACATAAATGACATCTTATGGTGTTTATTCCAATATCTATACTCTTTCCACGAAGTTGATTCCAAGCTTAGCGCGATGTTAGCGTAGGATTTCGTTCAAACAGACGAATAATTGTTTTGTCTTCTCTCGACGTCGACGCAGGGGTTAAACCTCTTCCTGGCAAGTCGTCAACATTCCTTACTTCTTTGTACTATTTCACCCACTTCTGAACGAATGACTGACTTTCTAACCACTTTTGAAACCTGAGCATACGTTAATTTTGGTCCTTTTGTCATGTAAAGCTGAAAACACTGCCTTGTAACGTTTGAAATACTTTGCCACCATTTTGAAAATTTCCACTCTAATCAAACCGTAACGTCGGAATGACAACAAAGCATATACTGTGAAATTATGTACACTGCAAGCTTTCCAACGTCATAAAGTAAATGGCACAACGGCGAACCATTTTGTATTAAGGCCGTATACTTTCTTGTGGAATAGACTGTATATGGGCAAATTTCATATATGATCTTTTTTCCCGAGAATATATTGTGAGAAACGAGAGAATTAATTCAGCATTTATCGAATAGTTAAATATTAGACTATCTTATGCATGCCCGAGTCGTAGCCCACGTCAGATTCGCATTAATTAATCTTCGCGCGTACAGAGACATATAGCGGACGAGTTTTGTCAACAATCAGACGTATAAATATCTGGACGGAGCATTTTATGAGAGGAAAGTCTTAGTAGTAAGAGAAATGTTATGGCTCTTCTTAAATAATTTCACCGCAATTTATTCAAACATATTCGATTTTATATCAGGTTGTAACTGTAATGTTCATAATGAACAGAAGTAGTAAGAATCTTTTCTTTGAAAGAATTTGCTACATTAATATATTTTATGGTATCTATAAAATGATATATCATAAAATTTACATAAAAAGAAACAAAAATAGCCGGCATTACCTATATTATATTATTCCTTAGATCAAGATTTCCAACCTCACATACAAGGGTAGATTGAAAAATTTAGAGCACGATTTCCAACCTCACATACAAGGGTAGATTGAAAAATTTCCGAAGAGACATTTTTTTGAGCCAAATGAAATTTATTTCTCAACATAATCTCTCTTCAACTTAATACACTTGGCCCAATGTTTTTACAGACTTCTCATTTCAGTATAATATCTTTTGTCTAAATTTGAAAAATAGTCAACGTTAAAATGTTAACGGCACTTGTCACTTCAGCATCCGACAAAAAATTCTTCCCAAAGTGTAATGGCGAATCTAAGTTTTATCGACAGTAATAAAACACCGTGAAAAATCCTGTTCATCGTACTTGAAACGCTCAAGACATGATCGAGAAATGTCAAATTGATCTCGTTTTTGATCAACTGTGAGTAAATACGGCATCCAACGCGCGTTCAGCTTTCTCATACCTAAATCCTCATGTAAAATGTTGTGCGTCCGTTCATATGAGATATCAGCAGCCTCTGCTTTCTTTCTCAAAGTTAATCGACGATCGTCCATCATGATTCAGTGAACGTAATCGTTTCATCCGTTGTTGCGTTTTTTGGTCGTCCAGAGCGTTCCTCGTCGAAAAATGATCGTTCTGCCACGTTTCAACTCGGCAGGTCAGGTTTTCACGGTCGTAAATGAAGGAACAGCATCTCCATACATTGAATCTAATTCAACTTTA